TTTTTTTTTTTTTTTTTTTTTTTCGTTTTTGAAACTACAAATACTCTATTCTGCATATGTTTGTGTTTACTAGTTTAGTTACAAAATTCACTTTTCTATAACTACAAATACCCTATTTTACATAGTTTGTGTTTAGTAGTGGCATCCGTCAAGGGAATATTTGTATAAAGCAGATATGAATCTTTGTAACACCTTCAGAGGGTTCATGCCTTATAGTGCGTGTTATCCTATTTTTAAATTGGTTTATTCTGCAGCAGCAAGTGCTGCTTCCAATATGGCTTTCTACTGTCATGCAACTCTTAATGATTTGGCATCCATATCTTCTCAACAGATATCACTCTTTCAGACTAAAATGTCGTACTTTGGAAAAACAACATAAACAAAAGTATGATATTTCGTAGCGCATGTATGCATTTTTGTTAAAAAAGTATGACTGGTCGACCTTGCCTCATGGCCAGGCTGCCTCATACAAGTTCTTAAAAATTGTGAATGTAAGAATCCAAGGGATGCGTTTCTAATTTGGGATTATTGCAAAGTTACCGTTAAGGTTTGGTAATTGTAAAACAATACATCTAACATCATAAAATACACACACCCACCTCCCTTGAGATTTGATTCCATCTTACAAACTGTCACTTTGGCTGGCTATTGGTAACATCTTTATTAGAATAATCTTAAACGTTGATGTAAAACGTTGATGTAAAACTTTTGATAGTGCATGGAAGTTCCCATCATATCTATTAACGAAATATGCAATATGCAATGTAGATGTACACCACAATAGTCGATTTGTATTCTTAAAGTGAACTTGTTTCTTTTCGGGTAAGTAAGCCAAATCTCTAGGTCAGCTCTTGCAAGTATCCCAAAATCTGATCACTCCATTGTCCACCTCAAATAGTTACTTTTTTGTCTTTACTGAGATTTCAGGAGAAGAATGTGGTTACAGTTTTTAGTGCTCCAAACTATTGTTACCGGTGTGGGAACATGGCTGCAATACTCGAAATTGGGGAGAATATGGAGCAGAATTTCCTTCAGTTTGACCCGGCTCCTCGGCAGATCGAACCTGACACAACACGCAAGACTCCCGATTATTTTTTGTGAGCTCATTGGCTACTCAGGTGGGCATTTACTAATGCATGCTTTTGGTTATGTTACTGTAGAAGTGCCTCAAGAGAAGAAGAGTATTGTTATTTGAGGATTGTGGTCGAAAAATATCATTCTTTTGTTTTGTAGTTTGCTCTACTCCCAACTTTGGTTATGTCATGTGCACGAGATCTTTGTGGAGGGTCAATGCTGGCATTTGGGTATTTTGTCTTGTATATTTTTTTTTGCCAAAAGGAGTAATGGGATGGTAGCTTATTATGTTCTATATAACTTACATAGGTTATCGTGGACCGTAGGATGCAGTTTTCGTAACTAATGGTAGTTTCTCCTACATAGGAGGTTAAGTGGTGTCGTGAGACTCCAACATATCTTCCTCTCATGTGTTTTTTTCATTGGTTTATCAACTGTCCAGAAATTTGACGTTGTTGGGGAGGTATAAAGATTTATGTTTGCATGGGGTCAACCAGCTGCAGCACTACTTCGCTTTCGTCTCAAGTATATAAAGGAACCACTGCTCATTAGCGTAGCAAACATAAGAGCCTGCACACAACATAAAAAAGAAGCCTTAAAATGGTTTATGCAAGGAAAAATATAATAATGAGAATCAATTGGGAGCCCCTTTCTCTATCATGTTGCATATGAACATGAAAACATTTGCGTTGCCTCCAAATGCAATTCTCTTACGTCAGTTTCGCCAAATTACAGATGATGGCACAAGATTAAAACATAATTCCAACTCACTTCACAAACTCAAATTGCGAAAACAATGATTAAGAAAAGAATCAACTAGTCCTTCCTCATGTGGTGTGAAAAGACTCTCGAATCGGCATGAATTTGGCCTAACTTGAGCTCCTCGCCCGTAAATCATTATTCAGACTTACAAAAACTCCACATGGAGAGCTTTCCGGTGAAAAGTCTCTGATTATTAAGTTAACCTAATGAAGAAGATGATGTGTTGTATGTATGTAGAGAACATAGAGAACGTAATGTGATGAATAACATACTTCACACTCTTTTATAGGGAAGTGCGACCTTGTTGCCCAAGACTGTATGAGTGAGTTGCTCGGACTGCCTGAACATCCTGTCCGTACTACCCGAATTGCCCAATTATGTTAGGCCACGTGGCCTTATCCACGTGTGGCCCTTATTCTATTAATATATCTTCTTATCCCTTACCCTGTCTTGTTAGACTCTTTTATTGTGCGACCAGCTCGAACTCTCTCATGGTAGAATGCTGCGTATGTCGAGTCCGTGCGTCTTGTCCTTTTGGTCGATCTCACGACCAACTATACCTTCATGTCGAGTTTCCAACAGGCCATCTGAGAGCCCTAATTCGACCTGTCATTGCTCCTTTAAAGCCTTAACTCAAGCAGCAGGGGAAAATTGGTGAGGAAAATGTGGTTAAGAACCTGGAAACTCTCCTTACAGCCTAAGGTAAAAAATATTTTTGGAGAGTTTACCATGGATTTCTAAACACTATATACAACTGTCAGGGAGGGGTTTAACCGTGGATACTATCTGCAATTCTTGTGGGGTAGATCGGGAAGATGTTGAACGCTTGTTCTAGAAGTGTAGTAAAGAAAAGTTCTGTTGGAAACTCATGGGTAAAGAATGGACAACTTTTAAGGTGGAACAGAAAATGATCAAAGTTTGGTGGAAATATGTTTGTTATAGTTCTCAGTTCTGGCAGATGAAGAATAGAATTATGTTATCTGTTAGAGTGATTTTGTTAATATTGTATTTTTGGTATAGATAGATTTTGGGTATCTTAGGGATTTGGTGTATATTGGTTTTAGAGCTTCCTTTGTATCCTTATATATTCGGCTCTTGTGAATATCAAAAGCAAGGTTTTGGGAAAACATATTGGCTTTCACGTATTTTGTCATGGTATCAAAGCCTGGTTAATTTTTTTTTCTTTTTTTTTTTTGCATTTCGAGTCTCGATCCACAAAGCCTTTTTCCAAAAAAAAAAATAATCTCTCTCTCAGTCTCGATCAACTGAGGCGGTTCTTTGTTTTCTTCTCTCGATCACTAAGTCCCAATTGTGGGTTGAAATTTTTCAATCTCATTAGTGCTGAATATTCTTTATTTTCTCTCGATCAATTAGTGCCAATTGTGGGTTGGAATTTTCATTCTCATTTGTGGTGAATATTCTTTATAATTTTATATTCTTCTTTTGCAATTGGATCTAACAAGTTGAGTATACAACTTAATTGTTGCTCTTTAAATCTTCCTCACTCTTTTCGTTTCTTGATTTCTCGATCGTCCAACAAAGCCGAATCGAAAAAAAAAATTAAAGTTCCCAACGTGAATTATGGGGGAACCGGGTAATGAAAGAATCGTTGCTCAAATCGGGGGACGAGCTAGTCGTGACAGACGTGGTGACGGAACCGTCGCTGTCGGCCTTGTCAACACCTCCTTCGGGAACGGGGCCGCACTTAGTGCCTCTGCCTCCCTACATAGCGGGCCAACATCCTCTTTGACGGACTCCGATCGGGCTGCTATTTCTGGGTTGACTGATGCCCAATGGGAGTCTATTGTACACCTCGTCACTTTCGCCCGCGACAATGCTCCTTTGTCTGGTAAGCATAGTCCTTATGAGTGGATGTATGATAGTGGTGCCCCACATCATATGACAGGCTACTTGGATGTTCTTTTTTCTGATATTCGAGATATTCCTCCACGGTCTGTGCAGTTACCTAATGACACGCTCACAACCGCGTGTAAAGCTGGCACTGTTCATCTCGGTTCTCGTATTATTTTATATGATGTTTTGTTCATTGACAGTCTTCAGTGCAACTTGATATCATTGTATCGTTTGTTGGAACAATCTGGTTGTGTTGCTACCTTCACTAGTACATATTGTGCTATTCAGGACCTCACTTCGAGGATGGTGATTGGAGCGGGTGAGCAATTGGGGGGACTATATTTTTTTCGAGGAGCGATCACTGCCAATGCTTCTCGGGTGTCCTCGGTTATGCAACCCTTGTGGCACCAGCGAATGGGTCATCCCTCTTCTACTGTCCTTGGTCAATTGCCTTTTGTTGAGTCTTGCTCCTTGGTCTCAGATAAACCTTGTGATGTTTGCTGTCGGGCGAAGCAATCTCATGCTAGCTTTCCTCTTAGTCGAAGTGTCAGCAGTTCCATCTTCAGTCTGATTCATTGTGATGTGTGGGGACCGTATAGAGTTCCTGCCTTTAGTGGTGCTCGATATTTTTTAACTATTGTTGACGACTATTCTCGCCGTACTTTGATTTTCTTATTGGATGACAAATCTTCGGTGTCTTCCACTTTACTACAATTTTTTGCTTTTGTCAAAAGGCAATTGGGTGTGTTGGTTAAAACTGTTCGTAGTGACAATGGGACTGAATTTACTTGTATGCGTGATTATTTCCGTCAACAGGGGATTGTTCATGAAACTTCTTGTGTCGGAACTCCGCAACAAAATGGACGTGCTGAGCGCAAACATCAGCACATTCTTAATGTTGCTCGAGCATTACGCTTTCAAGCCCATTTACCGATTGAGTTCTGGGGACATTGTGTACTTGCTGCTGGCTATTTGATTAATCGAACGCCTACTCCTCTTTTATCCGGCAAGACTCCCTGTGAACTTTTGTATGGAGAACCTCTCAATTATGCGCACTTACGTGTTTTTGGCTGTATGTGTTACGTGCACAATCAGAACAGGGAAGGTGACATAGTTTGCAAGTTGGAGTCGTCGATGTGTTTTTGTTGGCTATCCCTCTAGTCAAAAGGGGTGGTGTGTTTATGATTTGGACAACTGCACTTTTCTGGTCGCACGTGATGTGAAATTCTGTGAATCAGAGTTTCCCTATTTTACGTCTTCTACTCTTGATACTGCCTCCGTACCTGTGGTTCCATGGTTTGCTATTCCTGACGATGATGATGATGTGGTGCTTCCCGCTACAACATGTACTGCTGCCACTAGGGGTTCTGAGGTCATTGTCGATAGGGGGTAATCCTCCTGACGAGGAAGTGCTGGGTCGTGGTCATCGTCTCAAGAGGCACTCTTCCCGTCTTGCTGATTTTGTCTCTCACACTATTTGTTCCTCGTCCCTCCACTCTGCCTTCTCCATCTCATCATCGTTTGGTACTCCTTACCCTCTCGCACACTACGTTTCTTGTGATTCATTTTTCCCTGCACATCAGTCGTTTCTAGCAGCCATTTCTTCTGTTGTTGAGCCTCAGACCTTTTCTGAGGTTGTTCGAGATAGCTGCTGGCGTTCGGCTATGCAACTGGATATTCGAGCATTAGAATCGAACCGTACGTGGGATATTGTTTCTCTTCCTACTGGAAAACACGCTATTGGTTGCAAGTGGATTTATAAGATTAAATATAACTCTGATGGTTCTGTTGAGCGCTACAAAGCCCATTTGGTTGTCTTGGGTAACCGGCAGGTGGAGGGCATTGGCTATCAGGAGACATTTGCACCTGTCGCCAAGATGGTTACTGTATGGACTTTTCTTGCTATTGCAGCTGCTCGACATTGGGAGGTTCATCAGATGGACGTGCACAATGCATTCTTACATGGGGATCTGTCTGAGTAGGTCTACATGAAGCTTCCTCCCAGTTTTCATTCTCCTGATCCTGGTAAGGTGTGTCGGTTACGCCGTTCTTTGTATGGTTTAAAGCAAGCTCCTCGGTGTTGGTTTGCGAAGCTTGCTTCTGCTCTACAGCACTATGGTTTTCAGCAGTCATATTCTGATTACTCACTATTTGTTTTTCATCGTGACTCACTGAGTTTACATGTTCTGGTTTACGTTGATGATCTGATCATTTCTGAAAGTGATCCAGTCGCCATTACTGCCTTTAAGGATTATTTGGGTCATGGTTTTCATATGAAGGATTTGGTTTTGTTGAAATATTTTCTGGGTATTGAGGTTTCTAGGAATTCTTCGGGCATTTTCTTGTGCCAGCGGAAGTACACTCTTGACATTGTGACAGAGACCGGTCTATTTGGCAGTAAACCGACGAATTTTCCCATGGAACAGAATCATCAGCTTCCCTTAGCAGACGGTCCTCTCTTTTCTGACCCCGAGCGTTATCGGCGTCTCGTTGGGCGATTGATCTATTTGACAGTCACTCGTCCTGACTTGTCTTATGCAGTTCATACGTTGTCTCAGTTCATGCAGCAACCTCGTCAGACCCACTGGGATGCCGCTCTTCGGGTAGTTCGTTATTTGAAGGGTACTTCGGGTCAGGGTATTCTTCTTCGTTCAAATTGCGACTTGTAGATTTACGGTTGGTGTGACTCTGATTGGGCGACTTGTCCCACTACACGCCGTTCTCTTTCGGGCTGGTTTGTCCAGCTTGGTCATCCACCCCTTTCTTGGCGCACCAAGAAATAATACACTGTAGCTCAGTCTTCTGTCGAGGCCGAGTATCGAGCTATGGGACCCTTACTTGTGAGTTGAAATGGTTGAAGGGTTTACTTCACAGCCTTGGCGTCGCTCATTCTCAGCCCATGCGGATTCATTGTGACAACCAAGCAGCTCTGCACATTGCTGCTAATCCTATATTTCATGCGCGCACGAAGCATGTTGAAGTCGATTGCCATTTTCTTCGTGATGCTCTTGGTCAAGGTCTCATTTCTACAGCTCATATTTCCACTCATTCTCAATTGGCGGACATCTTCACCAAGGCCTTGGGAAAATGCGAGTTTGATTTTCTTCTTGGCAAGTTGGGCATCCGGAATCCGCATGCTCCAACTTGAGGGGGAGGGNNNNGGGGGGGGGGTGTTAGAGTATTTTGTGAATATTGTATTTTTGGTATAGATGATTTTGGGTATCTTAGGGATTTGGTGTATATTGGTTTTAGGGCTTCCTTTGTATCTTTATATATTCGGCTCTTGTGAATATCAAAAGCAAGGTTTTGGGAAAGCATATTGGCTTTCACGTATTTTGTCATTATCCTTATGTCTCATGTGCAGAATAAGGAAGCCAAAGAATAACGATCTCTTAAAAAAATGAGCTTTTGTAGAGGAGACGATTGTGAAAGGAGCTAAAAAGGATTGGGTGGAACAACTTCGGTACCCTTCTTGGGAACAAGAGAATTTAGAGGAGTCCTACATTGATTACAAAAAAAGGAATTTTTTTTCAGAGGGTAGGACTTGGGAGCTTACAAGTCAGTGCCCTATGCCTACATGGAGGAAAAGTTGAGTGGAAGTGTTGTGTAGAGCTGGATGGAAAAGAAGCTGATGAATGGAAGAATGACGATGCTTGGGCAGATGATAATCAAACTGCTTTACTGTTGGCTGTTAGAGGAGCATTGAAAGTGCCTACCAAGAGGAAGTGGAAGAAAATCCAATGCATCATACCATATAAAGAAGTACTTCTCAAGCTTCAGTCTTGTAGAGAGACCATCTTTGTTATGGGTGATATGTGATATCTTGCAGCTTGAAAGTTTCTTTGTTTTTTGTTCTTTTGTTTCTCTTGTGTAGATTGAGTTTGTAGTTTGGTAACCTTGTTAGGTTGTGTAGGGCATTTATGTTGTATTTGCTCGGTTGCTTTCTTTTATATCTTGTTAGATTGGTCAATATGTAATCAGTTGATTTACGGTTAATCAGTTGATTTCTGAATGAACTTTGTTTGAGTCTAAATATATGAGTTTTCGTTTGGGAAAAAAAATGTATATGGACCAGAATAAAAATCTACAAGCTTACAACAGATTGAATGCAAAAACAATTTAAAACCAACCAATAATTCAACAAGTGATGTGACCACCAGCGCCACCCACCACAAGTTAGTTTTCATTTCCACAAGGCCGAGAAAATGACCTTTAATTTAAGTTATCCCAACATGAAAAATAAGAGTAACTTCAATCACTATAGACAAGCAACCCAAATAATTTTCACTTTTTTTCTTGTGTAAAATAAGTTACATCAACCACCAAGAAATGATATACTCCAAGCTACAACTAATCCAACCTTACACCTTTTACATTCACCACTTTAAAGGTCAGAAATAATATTACATACTTAGAAAGGAGCACAACACATACTTCCACTTTACATCACATAAAGACAATATAAACAGTAGCAACAATGAGGCCGCGATCAGACAACACTAATGATGTTGTCCCCACCACTCTCATTAAATCCGGTGGGCATTGCTTGGAAAGACGCCACATGTCTTGCGGGCGGTGACTGCTGATAGGACAACTGTGGTGGTTCCTGAGATTGAGATGATATCGAGAGGTCGAGTGACTGAGAATGAGGGCCGAGTGCGGCTGATTTCTGGTTGTTTAAGTTCAAGTCGGCCATTTTGGAAGCTGGAGGTAAGATAGGAATGGGCCTAATGGGCTTGGGCGAGTTGTTGAGCTGGTTGAGAACCAGATTCTGTAGTGGGCTTGGATTATCACATGGGATTGGGATCTGTATAGGTGTGATAGGGACGGGACAAGATTACATGGGGAATTTCTCAGGATTTTGATGTTGTAGTTGTGTTTGTGTTTGTGTTATTAAAGGGTGGGGTGAGGTTTTGGGATTCATTTGCTCCTCACTTGTACATCCTACAACCTGTTTAAAATACAATTACAAAAATCCATTAGGCGAAAAAATAAACTAATAAGGGATCACGTAATAACGACGAGCACCATTTCATTTTCTTTTTCTTCGGAGACCAATTGAGGTAAAGAAATTCTTGCTCGTGGGAGTGCAATGAGTAAACAACAAGTATCAGCTTATATTTGTGATTTTGAAAGATAGATGAGACAATGTTGTAGCTAACTCATATATTAGGAAAATGCTACAGTCTCGTTACAGTATGGTTCAGTTGGTGTTTTTAACCGCAGATACACATGTACATCAGTGATGTGTAGATAATCTACGGTTAACAACACCAAGTAAAGGCCCATAAAATGATCTCTCACGTATTTCCTAATGCTGAAAATTCATATAGAATAAACTTTTAATCATACAATGAACTTATTCATTAGGCGACTCAAACACAGTTTCATGTTATAAATACAAATAAAAGAAGTCGATGAATGGAAGATTTGCATATACGGAAAACATAAATTTAAATTCTTCATAATGTAGAAGCAATAGACACGAACAAAAGAAATAAATTGAGAGAGATTTTTTCGTACCGCGTCGGCTGTGATGTCAAAGAAGCTAGACCTCCGACGCCGCCTGTTGTGGTTGTTCTGGCGGAGGAAGTACTTTTGAGCATGGCTTGCAACTTGAGTCGGTGTTCTTGTTTTCACATAGTTCCTTGAAATTCCCTTCCAATCTCCTTTCCCACCTTTTGCAACCCCAACAAAAATAGCTTGTGTTCCTCTTCACTCCATGGGACACCTGTTTTCCAGAATTCCACCTTTCATAATGTTCAAAATATTCATAACTCATTCAAACTCAAGTATGTGGGCATGGCGAATCAATAAATTGAAGACTTAATTAAAGTTAATAAAGTGTTGTTCTTCAGTCATCTAATTCTCTAAAAGTTCTATTCAGAAACTGCAGATTCAACCATGTTCAAAGTCAGGCTGAATTGCTCGATCTAGAGACTGAAGCAATCATTTTAAAAGCTTTTTTCAACTAAAAAATTCCCAATTTAACCGTCAACGCTCAGTTCACAATCAAACAAATCAAATCCACATTTTGTAGCTAGATAAATCGAATACCTCTTTTCCGATTGCGATTCCTTTCGGAGGGATAAACGACGTCATCGGAAGCATAGCCGACGGCGACATCATTGGTGGAGTCCTGCGGCTGCTGATCAAATTGAGCCAAGTTATTCATGTTGGCACACTTCCTGAACGATACATCCATCATAACTCTCACGCCAAAAAGTACGAATCCTTCACCGGCACCGGCGCTGATCTCCGAGCACGTCCTCGAGCTCTGGCCGTCGTCTGCGGCGGAGTAGTCCGAGCACTTCTCATGCATCTCCGCCTCCATTTTCCGCCGAACAATTAAAGCTTGATCCGCCTTGGGGCTCAGGGCATGAAAAATCAGGAGAAAAACGAGAGGACAAAAAAGGATGGGATTTCCTGTTGGGAGGGGAAAGTTATAATAAGTATTAAGAGCATCTCCAATGGGTTGTTAATTGTAGAATATGGAAGATGTTCAATAAAAAATGTCTCCAACGTGAATGTCTAAATTCTATTCTTCATGACATGGCAAGAGAGATGGAATAGAACTCCTTCTACATGTAGAAGTCTTGTTAGACATGATGAGTTATATTTTCAAAGTTGAATAAATAATCCACTGGAGACCTTTTATGTGTTTGAACATCTATTTCTTCCACGTGGATAAAAAACCATCTATTTAATTGCCACATACACTACAATTTATGTTTACCATTGATTTTAATTTTTCTGAGCTGTCATCCTTTGGTTAAATTAAAGCTGTGAAATGTTCTGGTACATTATAGTGTGTGTTTCCATCACCAGACACCAGCCTTTGGGTTGGGATGAAATGTCATCCGCATAATCTTTTGCCTCAATTTAAACTTTTATTTTCTTTTGTATTTTTTGGGCATTTATGTAACTCTTGGTCATTATATTTATAATAATTATATATTATTTTTTTGTGAACCTTTTTTTTTTGTTTAGTGCTGTTCTGTCTTCTCTGTTTAGGTTGGTTCTAGGCTGCTTCGGACATTTGTCTATAGGGCTATTCCTTCAAACTAGATTCAGCTTGAGTGGCTAATTTATTCGGCTGTTTAGTTTTTCTCTAGTTTATAATTATGTGTTTTTTTTGTTATTGAAAGTGAATAGCTTGAAAAAAAATAATTACTAAACCATACTCCAAAATAAATTTAAGAATCAAAGATTGTCTAATAAGTATAGATTGAAATTTAGATCTATTTTGACTAATGCGAAGCACAAAAAATTTATACATAGGTCAACATAGCATACAAAACATCATAAGTTGACACATAGATTTTGAGAACTATGTATTTATATAAAGGTGAGAGTCTATAGATTATAGTTTACAGTGAAGAATAAATAATTATTTATTGTGTTGGGTACTGTGAAAAATGTCGATGATTGTAGTAGTTCGACTTGTCTACGTAGAAATCATAAGCGCAATGGATCTAGAGTTTATAATTCAATGCTTACAGCGTAAAAATTCCGCAGACTATGAGTTGACTTACACATCTTACGGGAATGAATGAACTAGCCTCATTTGACCTCGGAATCTTTTGTTGTATTACGACACTGACTTATATCGGGTGCGCCCCGACAGAACCGTGCGACTGAATGAAGAAAAGTGTGTCTTATGAAAATTGTTAGGTCAATTATGAGTTACTAAGTATTTCGGTTTTTATTTTGGGGTTGTGCGTAACACCCCGTCTACTATTACTAAAATCAGAATAAATTTTTCGCGCTTTATTATTTGAAAACACTGATTAAATTTTTGAAACCTCTAACTTAATTTTTCCAAAACACTTTATCTTTCTCACAACTTACTACTCTTATCTTTTTATCTCTTTCAAGACATATAAACATATATGCAACAATCTAAACTCTTATTATCTCCAGGCCATTGGGCCGGTAACTCATGCATGCAAGATCTAGTCCATTCTCGAGGTTAGGTACCACAGAAACTACTAGATTTAAACATGCATAGTCTAATGTCTCATGATCTCATACATATATCATAATGCGGCAGCTAATGATCAACATACTTAGTTTACAAATATGTTCATATAAATCTCATGACATGATACATAATACCCACTTGCTTTGACCACCACCACCTTCGCCACCTGAAAAAGATTGATAGTGGGGGCATGAGCATAAAGTCCACGTGCTCCACATAAACCGACATTGAAAATATAACACAAATAATAACAAATCATGACATCAATATATATATATATATATATATATATATATATATAAATAA